ATGAAAAGGCAGACTCATGGATACATTCTCCTCATTTTCATGATCAATTTTTTGAGTCTTAGAAACAAGATACTAGAAATTGTTGAAGAATCCTCAAAACGATCCAAAGGGACTTTCTTAAATTGTTGGAAAGAATTCTAAAAACATAACTCTTAACTCTACCTTGAATTTGTATTATGAATTCAAGGTTATGATCATGTAAGGAATGATTTTATGTGTTTAGAAGTAGATTAGAGTAGTTAGAATCCAAAGGGAGTAAAAGTGCACCTTAAACGAACTCAAACTGAGCAACCGAAGGCAAACTGGATGGGGCGGAGAGCCTGGGGCTATGGATGGCGTGGGGCGCCAACCCCTGAAGTACAGAGGAGATTTTGGGGCGCTCTTAATCTACTGAAACAAAACTGAAATTATTCAATTTCATCCCGACCAATCATCAAAACTCCTACACAACATGATTTAGAATGAACTTCAAGAACACTCATCAAAAACTCTAGTCTTTCAACTTCAAGAATGAATATTCGCAGAAAATTACATGATTGACGTGTAGGTGAACTAACCAAACACTATGGAAGCTTAAATACCTCTAAGGGATCAAACCCATGGCAAAAATCCGCAACAATACGCAAGAATCTCGACTAACGCTTGATCCTCTCCTCTTTTCTCTTCTTTTTTCTTCTTTTCTTTTCTTGAACTCTCAACTAAAATCCTGGGTGTATATTAAAATTATAAAACTGAATCTAATAGGTTTAAACCTTAAAATATTACTAAAAATGAATAAAAACTGACTGGATAAGGAAAAGATCACGTATCGCTCACTATTTTCGCTAACTTTCATAAATTGGACAACCAAACTTCAAAAGGTCGTTTCTCATCATCCAAATTTATAACTTAGCAAACTTGGTGGCGTTGAAAATATAATTCAAACATATTTCCTAAGGTATCTATTAGAACACCTAAGTCATGTTGTGCAGAGAGTTATAGTTGTTTGAAGTTGACCCAAAACTCATACTTAGGAATAACTTTAAAAATTTTCAGATTTCGCTAACCCAATTTAGTTATTTTTAGAACTCAAGGTACTACATCTAGCGACTTGAACTTAATACCGAAAAGATTTTGAAATCCTTGGCAAAAACTTACTCACTACGAGATATATAAATAATATAGTAGTATAGATGTTTATCATACGGTAAAAATAAATAAATAAATGTACTTTAAATGTATGACAACTTTTATGTTTAAAATTTTAGATGTGCCCTACATAAATGTATCTTAAATAAATATTGAGTTTTAAAAAATATAAAAATTTGTCATTTTATTTATAAATTATATGTAAAAAAAAAAGTAACACTTTTAAATGTGATAGTAGATATGAGGAAAATAATATGAAGTGTAGAAAAATAATAAGTTATGTATAAAACCTGTTGGCATGTATAAAATCTAAAAATAACATGTTAAGAAATTAATTGTTTTAGTAATATTTGGAAAAAAAGTGTCAATAGCAAATATATCTTTATAAAGGAGGTGACGTCAAAAGAACATAAAGTGGCATAATTATTTGTGTCCCACCCCAACTCATGGTTGTTCTTTACCTAAATTTGAAAACTAAATTTTTATCCTTTAGATCTACCTATTTCAAACCTCCAAAGAGCTGCACTTTTACTCTAAATAAGTCAACATTTTGAACCAATACACTCTCATTGTGTATTCTTAAAGAGGAGGGGTTCTACTCTCAAAATCTACATTATTTATTCTCAAATTGCTACTCTTTAAAGCCCATAATGTGGTGTTTTTTACTTTAAAATAACACCCCTTTGTACCCCAAAATATCACCTCATAAAACTCTCATAACAAAAGTGTTTTTGTTCCAAAAAAAAAGATAAAATATTCACCTCTAGGCCCTAAAAGAAAAAAGTTTTAAACTAAAGAAATCAGCACATTTTTACACTTAGAAAATCTGTTGGACGAAGTTGTTAAAAACTCCTGATTGTCTCTTATTAAACTACAATTTTCAAGTTAAAATTTCACTCAACAGCCAGCAAAAGGGTTGTGTTTTGGGACTCAAAAAAACTGCAATTTTACACTCAAATCATGCACATTTTGAGCTCAAATTCTGCACCCTTTCGAGCTCAGAATGCTGCACTTTTCGAGCTCAAAATGCTCCATTTTTGTGAATCGATATAACACTCTTAAGCTCTCAAGAGAGTGATATCTTTAACCTTAAAATTTGAACTTCTTTGAACTTAAAAATTTGCACTTTGAACTTCACAAAAATCTGCGCTTAAAACTACCAAAAACCACACTTTAAACACATGAAAAGAATCTGAAATATGGGCATGAACAACTATGTTTTTATAACCACCAAAATGTGTCAAGTAATAAATAAAAAGAATATGAAAAACGAACTATGTTTTTATAGCCACCAAAATGTGTCAAGTAATAAATAAAACTTAGTTGAGAAAAAATTTCATTCTAAACCGAAAGAAATATAATAAACCAAATATCTAAAGGAAAGCGAGAGGGACAACTACGTCTTACTATCGCTCTCAACTGGTTTGTATAAACCCAAAAAAATAAAGCAAACATAAATCTAAAATAGAAAATGTTAGTTAAAATAGCAGTACAAACTTTGAAATAAGGAAGAAGTGTTGGAAGCTATTGACGTGAAAATGGGCTGCTAGACATGAGCTTAGGCAGCTATTAGTAGCTTTCTCTGGTATGGATAGCGACGGATCATATACTAACTCAAAAATGCGCTACCGAATCGTAATGTGACAAAAGAATTTAAAAAAACAGAATTAGCACATGGGCTACAAAATTATTACAAAGTATAAAGAAGATAATCCATGAAGTCATTTGTTAACCGAGATATAAGATAACTTGCATAAACATTTACGTGCCTAGAGGCGAGATTTTTTAAAGATTAACCCTTCTTTGTTAGACTTGTACAAGTTAAATTTGGAATACATAACCTATGTATGTATTTCTACCATACCAAAACAAGTTTAAACAAGCATAAACTATCTGTTGAAGCATATGAATCGGTATTTATTCTTTGAGTCCCACAAAAAGAAACAAACAGTATTAATACAAGTAGCTTATAAGGAACGAGAGGATATTGTAGATTATTTCGGTATGTACTATGCAGTGGTCATGTTATATGTGAATCTAAAGTGCAAATATGAAATAAAAGGGTTATACACTATCTGGGTAAACATTTTTGTTTTCTAAAAATGAGAACGAACTTAGCATTTTAGAATTCTTGACACGTAGTAAATAGAGAGTAAATTGAGAGGCACATGAAACCTAAAGTAAATATTCAATTCGTCATTTACAGAAAAACTTCATGACCATACTACTTAATCAAACATAATAGACTGAAAACATTGAACTATTATGCTGATAGAAATGTAAACACACTTAGCATGCATTAAGATGGTGAATAAGTTCTTATCTTATGTTCTCGTCTTCACATAGATAACGGCAGATTTATTACGTGTCAACACTCATGTGTGTGTGCGCCCTGTGTGTACAAAGAGGTTTTTCTTTCAATTTCTTTTATACAGTTTATTTTGAAATCATAAAAAATTGTTTATATCCTTTCTATGTTAATAAAAAATTTTAATGAAGCACCATCAACGTTTTCATTTTAAAAAAAATTGTATATGTATCTAGTACTTAAATAGTAAATAAAAAATAATTTTAATGATTTTTTTTGTGGATGATGTCATTTATATGTAATCGAAGACATGAACGTAAACACATAATAGAGAACATGATGGTAATTTTAGTTTTCTTCATATTTCGCTCACATGCATTTTGAGTATTATCGAATAAAATAAATTTTAAGCATTAATTTCTTTTCTACAAAATCAATGTGTAAAACAATTCCACTAAATAAATAAGAGTAATTCTTAGCCAATTCGGAAAATTTCATTTTTTTTTAATATTTAATATTTAAATCAAAAGGGCAAAAATATCCAATAAAAAAAAACTAGTTTATAGTGTGAACATGTTATTTTACCATTTTGACCAAAATATGGTCAATCTTTTAAGCCAGAAGGATTTTTCCTTATCATTATTATTATTATTATTATTGTTATTATTATTATTATTATTACTATCACTATCAGTATCACTATCACTATCACTATCATTATCATTGTCATTATTATTATTATCTATATTACTTTAAAAGTATCAACTCCAAACCTAAAAGTGAAGTTACTTAATTACCTTTTCTCTTAACTTCAACCAATCATAAATAGTAAATTACTAAATTACCCTTTCTATAAACTAGAAAACCTCGCTCCATTCACATCCATTAGAAAATGCTCCTACTTTTTCCTACCACTTGAACATAGTCCATCGTTTGTCCCAAACAAGCACTCCCTAACGCCACCAGTTCAAACGGTTGTTTATTCATCCGACGCCAAACTCGCAAACACCCCCAATTCAAACGCTTATTCATTCAACCGACACCACAACTTATTTCTAAACAGATGTGCCCCCTTGCTTCGTTGTATTTAAAACTCAAAAACGCAGATGTTTCTATTCATCGAGCACAATCCACTACCTTTTACGCACAATTTTGAAAGGACACATCATCTCCTTCAAAATAGGTCTTTCTCAATCTATCCCTTTCGTTCCCCTGTTTAATAGGCTTTTTAACCGCAGATCACTCACAAACATTACAGTTGGGTATTTGGTCTGTTATTACCAAATTGTAAGTTTTCCTTTTATTTGTTGAAAGTTCCATTAACACGGCTTCTTCGCCCTTTATAATGACTCTCATAATTTTTCAAAAAATACAATATGATTCACAATCCTGGAATATTGCACTGTAGTACAACCCTGTCATTCACAAAAAAAATTAAAAAAGTTAACTAAAATAGTGTAATGAAACGAATGAATGTCATCTTAATTCTTAGTATTATTATTTGTTTCATATGAGATTACACTTTCTCTTGGCATATGTATCGACAAAATTGCTACCTGTTACTTGTTATTACTTGCTTCATATGAGATTAAACTTTCTCCTGGAATGTTGATAAGGTTGCTATCTTAGACTTATTATTATTTCTTTCATATGTGATTACACTCTCCTGGCATATGCATTGACAAGATTGCTATATGTTACTTCCATTTTCGAATGCTTTCCTCGACAATGGTACTAATACACATTAATGCCTTGCGTAAAAAATGTTCCACTCATCTCCCCAGGTAACTTTACTCATCAAGATTCAGTGCACATGATGTCTGAAATTGAACTAGCAAAACAGAGTCAGCCGATAAACAAAATATCAAAACGCTCTGTTGATTCAGTGATGAGAGTATTAGTTATTCGAAGGGGTTCAATAATACCTTACAAGAATTCAAGACATGAAGGGACTTTCAGAATCATAATATTAGTTGACGAAGAGCTAACAACTTCATAGTTTTATATTTTTTAATACTATTGTTTATATTTGTCGCAATCATACACCCCCTCTGTTTGATTACTAATAGGGCACAAAGCTCAGGCCCCACTATTTAGTAAGCATATTGTAACATGGAAGGACACCTTGAAGCCAAACAAGACTTACTATATTGCTAAAGGACGCTTAGATCGCGTCAACCCCAACTACTCTTCCGTGTATAAAGAATTTGAATTGGCCTTTACAGACAACACAATCATAAAGGATACTAACCATGAAGTTTCAACAATATAGTTCTCTGATGGCTTTGTATCATTGCACCATGCTGAAAAACTACTTAATGGTGCTATTCTAGGTAACTAATCATTATGATGTTATTTTCATGCTCCCTTACGTTATCGAGGTCAAATATGAAGTGTTTTAGACTTGCTTTGCGTTTTAGTTTCAGTGAATCCCCTCATCCATAATTTTAAAAGCAAGAGACGGGAAATAGTTGTTACAAATGAACTGTAAGTTTTATCATGGATAATCGACTCTCTATGTAGATATATGGTAATGTATTCACTCTTCTCTTCTATCAAATATTCCAGCATGGAGCATACAATTGTTACTCTATGGGGAGACTTTGCTGAGAATGATGGGTCATTATTGGAAAAGCTGAAAGAAGATAGACCTATACTTGCCTTATGTGACTTTTGGTCTCCATCTATAAAGGTATGTGATAGACTATTATACGTATTTATCGCTAAAGAACTTAGTGTAGTTGTTTAAAAACTTTTACATGCTCTTCTCACATTAGAGACTTTTGGGATCTGTACTATTCTCGTGAGCAATATCTTGATCAATCCAATCATCCAGAAAGCAATGGACCTTCAAATTTGGTACACTAAATTATTCACAAATATGTTCACCACTATAAGTTTAATCCAACTGTGTAAACTAATGTTTAAGCTATACTTTTGCATTGTAACCAGGTTAAACTACAATGCACTGAACACACCTCCCTCTAAATAAATGATAGAAATAAGTAACCTCATCGTTAATGTAGGCGTGAACTCATAAAGGTCGAGAACAAAGATATTGCAGCATCACAAAGTAGGTTGGCGAGAAGAGCTATAGAAGTACCCTTGCCACATATTCTCGATGGTTTGTTGCCTGATTCACGGGTACATACTAATCGATAATTCAACTCTCCAAAACTATTATTTGTTTATATGTTCTAAACATCATTATACATATGTTATATTGGCAATTTGCAGGATTTAATGTACAAATTCAAAGCAAAATTTTAGACCTCCTCAATAAAGATGAACCATGGTATCCGTCATGCAGAAAGTGCCATAAGAAAGTGAAATGTATATATGATGTAGCAGCATGTAACAATTGGAACATTGAAAACATAGAATATGAAATGAGGTTAGGCTTGGTTATAACTCAATTTAACATTTACAAATCACAGAATACATGAACTTAACAAAAAATAATGAACATCTTTCTGTAGTTACTGCTTACATCTTGAAGTGTGTGGCGGATAACAACGAGCTCGAGTTATACTTTTTGAAGTATCTAAATCTTTACTAGGCTGCACCGTGCAAGAGTACATACAATCAACCTCCGCAAAGGTATGACATTTAATACTATACTAGACTGAAAGTATTCAATATTTACATAGTTTAATGTTTCCCTAACTGGGAACATTTCAAATTAACATATCTTATTGTTTACCTCTTTTGTAGAAGGAAGAATGTAAGAACTACCGCAAATTGGTGTTGACTAAAGATAAGGAATTCTACATTCTTGTCCGAATTGATATGAATAAACCAAAAACCCCCCAAAGCGTTTAATTGCTCATGAAATATATCCATTGGAAGATGAAACACAAACAATCATGGAGGATGAAGATAAAATAGCACCATTGCGCAAGAAGCGGTTGAAGAAAATCAAAGATGAAACTCCCAAAATCCAATTGAAAAAAAAATTGGCAAAAAGTAGATGTACTTTCATATGATGTATCTAAACAATGTTTTTATCTTTTTACCTAATAATATATGATTTCATATTTGAAATGTAAATAGCATTTCACAACTATCTTTTACATACAACAACGACAACTACTTACAAACAATTGTTGAGGGAATTATATACTGAACTTACACCGTGTAGACATCATACATGCCACATGTACAATGCAAACCTTAAGAATATTACGAATAACAAAGATTCTCAAACGTATTGATAAATCGTAATGCATAGTTATATTAGAAACATAAGTTGGTTGAAAATGTAAAACAAAATCACTTATGACCATATATTTAAATTTTTGGTTAATATTTAATTATAAGCATATACAAAAAATTTATAGGACAAATTCTTTTTAATATTTCTGATGTATCGCCCACTAGATGAGTATTAAAATAGCCATGTTCAACTTGAACTTGGTCGACTATAAGGTACATCCCGTCATCATCAAAATTAAAACTGCAAAATCAAAAGGCATTTCACTTGAACATTTGTAAAATAGTCTATGTCAGAATTATTTTACATATTAAAATCATACTAGCATATTATAAGAATATAAATTTAATCCTAAATTAAATTTTCTTATATTATACTGATATATAACATACAATCTGCTTTCAAAATTGACAGAAAGATGACTTTGTGAGATAAATATCTCAAGTTGAGTGACCTTACGAGATAGTAACTATCATTTAACTTTCTAAGAAGCAAATTGCAGTTTGGATATATTATAAATACAAAAAGCATATCACATTATAGCTTACATAAAAGGTGCACATCATGTATGTTTAAACTCCCACCTAACCTCACCAATACACGCACTAACCACTAAAAAGATATAATGTATGAAATTAATAAAACGCATCACCGACAAATAACACGACAGCCAAGAGTCACACCCTCTCGCCAACAAACAACGCTTCATCCAAAACTCACACCCTCTCTCAACCATTGCAATTGCCAAATTAACTTGTGTCCTTTCAGGAAACCTATATCATAAACCATTCCAACCACTTGCCAAAGAAACTTCAACAACGAATGCATCACCACCCTTTTTTATATTAAAAAAACAATACACCTTAATCAACTTCTTACATATCGTCCATAATATTGTAGACGACACACACCATAGTTCCATCACTATAAAATATCAAAAGATTATAAAGCAGTCACACAATCATTTGTCACATCGGTCGCAACTGTTTTGGTTTCAAATTAGATGCAAACTACTATACTTTCAATTGATCCAGTACATCGGCAAATTATTACTTGTAAGTTCACCATAAATATTGGAACATATTCACAGTGCTAAAAGAAATGCTCTATCTGAGATTTGTGCGTGTAGCTTATGATGGGGTTAAATATAGATTTGCCTACCAAAGATCATATTTTTGTAGGAAAACTCATGTCGTAGACCTTTGAAATCCATAGGGCCTGGCAACACATCAAAGAAATGTGTTTACTACTGTTTCAAACAACACTTTGTCAGTTCGCTATTCTAATGAATTAACTATATCATCTACCAATCATTTAATTAAAGTCCGTGTGTATTAGGACAAGTAAACACCGAAATAAACTACAACAATATGTCAAATGAAGGTAATAGTGATTTAACACATAATGACCAACTTGCAGGTACATTATGAAAATATCCACTACTGAGATTACAAAAACAAATAATTGTAAATAACAAACATTATTGCCGCAGATATTTTGGCCAATGAATCGCAAGGTACGCATATTTGATTGTAGCTAAAAAGTACATAACTAGATTTTCCTACATATTACAATTTCAAACATAAAAATGCAGTTCATAGTAAACTGATTAGTGAACACTTGTACAAGGAGAAAAGTACAAAAAGTAACGGTGATGTATGTTATCCTTATTCTCAAATCATTTCAAAACAAAAGGTCAATGGAACTTAAATTCTGTAATTTGATTAACATAATTAGTATTAACCAAACACTAAACTAATTAACATAATTGAATATGCTACTACTTGTTGGGTTTTATTTGCCCTGATTTCTTACCATAAATAGGTTTTCCTCTTAGGAAAAGGTTTTGAATTGACTAATCCTTTTTTGCTAGGAAAAGGTTTAGGATTCTATAAATAGAGACATATTCCTTTTAACTTAATCAGCATTCACAATGTAGTCTTAAGGGCTTTGAGAGTTTTGGTTAGAGGGAGAATTTGTGGATCACAAGTTTGATACGTTATCACTTGTGTGAACCTCCCATGTATTCTGAGTGAATTGGTTGAGGTTGTTTCCCTCTATATTTTGTACTCTCATATTTATAGTGGATTGCTCATCTCCTTTGTGGACGTAGGTCGATTGACCGAACCACGTTAAATCTTTGTGTCTTTTGGTATATTTCTCGTTGTCTTCTTACTCGTGGTCTTTCGATGTTTGCATTGATAGCTTCCGCGTTTACACCTGCTTATTTCCGA